AAAAAAAAACTAACTCACAGTGCGATCCGCTTACGCAATCCTGCCCAATCAAGGCCAGAGGCCTTAGACAATTCTTCAGTGTCGACTCCCCACATGTCCGGTTGAAGGATGCCCTTACTGACGGGACAGCCAGGATAAGATGGGAAAGGACCATGCTTTTCTGCCAATTTGCAAGAGGCATTTAGTGCAGCAAAATAAATTGTCTCAAAGATGCGCTTATTTAAGGCGGCTGCTTCAGGACTGTCGAATGGATAGCGCAACAACACGAATGCGTCATAGAGACCTTGAACTCCTATGCCGATGGGACGGTGTCGCATATTTGAGTTCTTAGCCTAAATGAGAGTACAATTTATAAGTACAAGCAATTCGTAGGGAAACTTGAAAAAGAAACGAAAAAACCGTTGCAGCATACCTCTTGGACGGGGTAGTAATTTAAGTCTATAACCTTGTTTAGGTTCCGTGTAATGACTTCCGTGACATACCGCAGCTTTTCAAAGTCGTACGTTTTGGTTCCCGGGTCGACAAATCGTCCCAAAGAGATGGACGCGAGATTACAAACGGCAGTTTCATCAGGCGAGCTATATTCAACGATCTCCGTGCACAGGTTCGAGCACTTAATTGTTCCCAGGTGTTGGTGATTAGACTTGCGATTACACGCGTCCTTGTATAACATGAATGGATTGCCGGTCTCGATTTGTGCTTCAATAATGGCATACCTACAATGAAAAGTCTATTTAGCATACTCCAGAGTGTATGTGAAAATAAAAAATTAGGTTAATCTAAGCAACGCGTACCATACTTCCTGTGCCGGAAGAGTTTTGCGGCCTTTTCCTTCCGATTCGTATTTTGTGTACAACTTTTCAAATTCTTCACCCCAACAATCGAAAAGACCTGGACACTCGTGAGGATCCATAAGTGTCCACTTGTCGTTGTCTCGCACGCGTCGCATAAATAAGTCAGGAACCCAAAGAGCCATGAAAAGATCACGAGCTCTAGTCTCTTCGGCGCCAGTGTTTTTGCGTAGCTCTACGAACTGCAGAATGTCTGGGTGCCATGGCTCCAAGTAAATCGCGAAGGCACCTGGTCGCTTGTTTCCACCTTGGTCGACGTACCGCGCTGTGTTGTTGAAGACGCGGAGCATTGGGACCAAGCCATTGGACTCTCCATTCGTTCCCGCTATAAAAGTACCCTTGCTTCGGATACAGTGAACGTTGAGACCGATTCCACCAGCATTTTTCGATATAAGCGCACACTGCTTCAATGTATCATAAATGCCCTCAATGCTGTCGTCCTTCATTGTGAGAAGGTAACAACTGGACATCTGTGGCATAGGGGTCCCGGCGTTAAAAAGTGTGGGAGATGCGTGAGTAAACCACTTCCCGGACATGAGTTCATAAGTCTACATGAACAAAGATAATTATATTGGCCAACTGGCTAACCTCCAACGCGGCATCAAGATCGTCAGGATGAATACCAATTGCCACCCTCATAAACATATATTGTGGCCGCTCGACGATCTTCCCTTCTTTTCGCAAAAGGTAGGATTTTTCAAGGGTCTAAAGGGATAAGCTAATTAGTAAGAGCTGTAGAGTAGATGGACACAAAAACAGAAATGTTTTGACAAAACGCACCTTCAGTCCAAAAAAGTTGAGATCATAATCACGTCGGTGATCAATGGCAGCATCCAGGCGCTCGGAATTGGCACGGACGATATTAATTGTGGTCTCTGAAACCATCGGTGTAAACAGACCATTCTTGGAGTTATGATAGTTATAGAGTTCTTCCATAGCTTCAGAGAACTTGGGCTTTGTCTGCTTGTGCAGGTTCGAGGCCAATAAGCGGGCAGCAAGCGTACCGTAGTCATAATGCTTTGTTGTCATACTCGCACAAGTCTCGGCAGCCAGAGTATCAAGCTCAGCTGTTGGAACGCCAGCGTATAGTCCTGCTACGACCCGCGCGGTAATGTAATCCTGCAAGAGAGGAGGGTGCTTATTAAGGAAATCCT